AGAGTTTAGAAGGTTCTGATACTCAGTTTTCAAAGAATCAGGTGCTTCCCCACCTCTACTTTGTTGCTGTGTGGAAGGAGGCAACAAAACCAAGATGGAATTTTCCAGTTTGTAGCTTAAACTTCCTTGCACAACCTTTAAACCTGAGGCTGCAATCTGGTGGCCCTCAGGCCAGAGATATTTTGTCTGATCTGACAGTGATTCTATAAAATCTCAGTTATTTGCCAGAATTTTTGATTGATTATTTGAAAGAGAGCAGGGGCGGGGGGAAGAGGGAGAGAATCTCCAGCAGACTCCCTGCTGAGCATGGAGCCTGATGTGGGGCTTGATCTCATGACTCCGAGACCATGACTTGAGCCAAAATCAAGAGCTGGACACTTAACCACACTTAACCGACTGAGCCACTCAGGCGCCCCATTTGCCAGAATTTATAGCTGAAGTGATCCCATATAAAAATCTTGATTTCTGACTTTTCTGGAAAATGGAAAGATCTGGCAACACCTGGTTCATATAATTGCCGGTCCATGGCTGAAAGAGCAGAGTACTTACTTTCCTCCTCATTATCTCTGTAGGAAGGTAGATCTAGTCACTGTAAACATTTCTACCCTCCGGAGGTTTTGGTCTCTTGATTGCTCAGTCTGGTGGGATTCACACTCCATCCTAGGGCTGCTCCATGAATAATAACACCTTGTCTCTGGGTCATGATAAATTTTTACCCCACAACTGTCCAGAGCTTTGTGACTGCTTTATTTGGAAAGTGCATCTTTGGCCCCAGAAATCTCTTCACTGGGTGGTAGCTCCTTGCCCTTCTTAGAAGTCTTTATGGCTCCAGACCTCTAAAAATTCTGCCTTCACTCCTATTTGGTTCATCTACAGCATAGTCAGTGGAACTTTTTAAGACTAATTCTCTTGGAGGAAAAGCTTGGCTTTACTTGACCATCTAAGCTAGTAGCTGGGTCTGTTGTTTCAATGGCAGCCACCATCATCCTGAGCCAATCTGTCTCAGATTAAGTCCTGCTGATAACATTTGTCCATCCAAATGACTAGATTCTCTATGATGGCTTCCCCCAGGTTGCCTCATAGAGAGAACTTTTAGAATCCTATCACTTCCTGAATACTAGTAAATGATTATGTGCATTGTAAATATAATAGTTCCCCACAACAGCAAGGAATATCCTCCCCCTCCCTTTTTTAAAAATGAAATCACAGAAAAGTGATTTTCAAAGGTAGAGATAATATGAAATGGGATGGAAAGCAAATGTTTTGGAAGCCAAATTGAGTAAAAAAGATTTCAACAGTTGGGGATGACTTGCTAAAAGAAATAAAATGGAATTTGAAGGATAAATGTGTAGTCTTGAACTGCAGTTAAAGAAATCGTATCTTCAAGCTCAAGGTTGGAGATACGTGCCTTAACGGTGGTTCATGCTTGGACATTGAGGATTCTATTTGAGGACCATCGTGACCTGAGTGATAAGAAGTGATGTGCCCTTAGATGTGTTCACTGAGCCCTGACAGCCTGTGAGCCTAATGCATTGTATTTGACTAGCATACTGATTTTGAAAAATTTGCAATGGAATCCCTTTGGGGAAGGCATTTATGGTACACCCCCAATTCTTAAGGTTTTTGTGTTTATGGATGGTCCTCCTCCCCCCGCTCCCTTATAGTAGCACTCTTCTTGGGGGCACTGGGGTCCATTTCGAGCCCACATGTTGAGAGAGAATTAACAAAGGAAGGGGGTCAAGAAGAGGATGATATAGATAGGAAAGGAATCAGACACCAGTTTATGTCATAATCACTGAGAGAACCACAGCTCTCTACCTGGTCCAATACCTGAAGGACTGTCATGTGGAAGAGGAGTTAGATTCAGTCCTTCTCGTGGAAGATTTATAGACTACGCGCCTTCAGTCACCAGGCTGAGAGGATACAGAGAGGAACAAGTTGGTCTCTGTCTTCGAGGCCGAGTTTACCGCAGAGCAGAGGGGACCCACAGAGATGGCTGTAAAACACACAGTCTCTGCGGTTCCCCAGAAGACAGAAGGGAAGAGACCGACTTCAGCTGGGCTTAGAAAGGCCTTTCCTCACGATTAAAGCCCTCCCCCGATGGAATGGGCTGCCTTAAAAACTTGCGAGCAGTTGTATTTCCAGCTGTTGAAGACAAGCTACAGGAGTTTGGAATGAGGGTTGCAGTAGATGACATTTCTCCCTCTGTTAGTGTATGGTCCCAAGACCACCAACCTGCTTTCCTTCACTTACCCAGAGAGAGTGGTCTCTGGTACATATGTACACTGTACCACTCTGGTACAGTGGTCTCTGGTACCATATGAAATGCTTGTGGGTTGTACTCAGCATTTTGGGCAGACCACACGGGGAAGGGTGTTGGTTTGCAGGGTTTCCGAGTGTGGAATTGCACTGATGTGTCGTCTGTCTTCTGGAGACGCCAACGCCGGCAGGCAGGGCCCAGCTGTAGTTTTTATTCATGGACCTGGGAGAAGAAGCAAGGGGCATATTTGGCAGGTACAGTCTTGTTTCTGGTTGCTTCTTTTGTGTGTTGGCTGCATCTGGCTCTGAGGATCATGTCATTACTGGTGAGTGGGGCAGCACTTCCTTTCCTGGGACAAGTATTTTGAGGGAAGCCTATTTCCTATGCCTGCCAGGAACCCAAATAACATCATATCCAGCTATTAGCTGCCAAAATAAGAGATTCCTAATTCTTACCCTTTGATAGCACAACTTTAAAGTAATTCAGATTTCTGTCGTGTCCCTTAGAGATCCCTCAGCCTTTGAAAATGTGTCACCTTTGGCTCCATGCAGAGACTAAACTGAGCAGAGGCAGCATCTCTTCACAGCCTTCAAGGCAGAATGTTCTGGCAGCATCCTTCTTGTCCCGTCCTCTCTGTGCTACCACATGGCCGCTGTCGTCAGCTCTTGGCGTCCTCACGGTCTATAGAGCATGATTGTAAGGAAAGCAGACAAGGCCTCTTTCTTGGCAACTACATTTTAAGGTTCAGAGAGGCAGATGTTATCTGGATTTGGCATTTCTTTCCAATTCTTGCATGTTTAACCCCGGTTTAGTTCTTCGGGACATTTCCCCCTACTCCCAGATATGTCAGAAATCACCTGGAGGATATGGAGACAAAGTGTAGTAAGTTCAGTCGAGCAGAACTGCCACTCAGTTCCCCAAACGGCTATCATTGCTCTCTGCAAGGCAGACAGGCAGTTGTTTCTAAAATGCTTGGAGCCAGAATTCAGTGTGAAACCCCACAGCTGCTGTGGCTGTGGGACGTGTGGACAAGTCAGTCATCCTGGCAGACACCCTTCCCCTGCTGGGATTCTCTCCCCTGGAGAAGTGGAGGGGAGCCAGCCCCAGGGTTTCTGCACACCCTCAGCTGGAGTGGGCCAATAGGCCAAGCTACCTGCCTTCTACACCGGGACCCGTGGCGTTTCTAGAGTAACAGAGGCAGAGGGTGGAGGTTCTCAGCCCTGACAGCAAGTTAATTACACCTGGAGGCTTGAGGGGAGGGGAAACCGTGCATGGACCCCATGACTCCCTAGAGTTAATTTTGTAAAGCAGCTTTATAAATTCCACATACCGAATAGTTCACCCATTTGGAGTATACAAATAAATGGTTTCTAGTATATTCAGAGGGTTGTACGACCATTCCCACAATTTTAGGACATTTTCAGCAGTCACTCCCCATTCCCCCCAGCTTCCCCAGGCCTAGGCAGCCAGTTACAAGTCCACTTTCTGTCTCTACAGAGTTTGCCTGTTCTGGACATTCTGTGTAAACGGAATCACACAGTAGGTGTGTCCTTTGTGGCCGGCTTCTTCCCATAGCCTGTTTTCAGGGTTTGTCCACATTATCATGTATCAGTACTTCCTACCTTTTTATTGCTAAATAATATTCCCTTTTATGAAGATACTATAATTCGTTCATCCGTTCATCAGCTGATGGACGTTTGGGTTGATTCCACTTTTCGGCTGTTATGAGTAATGCTGCTAATAAACAATGTGTACAAGTTTATCTGTAGATACATGTTTTCATTTCTCCTGGGAATATACCTAGAAGTAGAATTTCTGGGTCATATTGTAACTTTAGGTCTAATCTTTTGAGGAGCTGCCAGACATTTTCCAAAGCAGCTGCACCATTTTACGGAGGCATTTCATAAAAGCTCCCTGTGCTGATTCTAGATGTGATTATAACGTGCTTCCCATGTAGATAACAATCCTTGCTCTGCCTCATTTGGAAGTAAAAGCTCAGCAGAATAGATACCAGCTTTTACCTAAAGGAGAGAATACTTGTCGAGTCTTCACTTCTTCCAAGTTGTTCTTTTCAGCATTCCACAGCCCTCTGCTCCCGCTGGCAGCCCAAGATGAACCTGAGCCCCAACTAGAGGACTAGCCAGTCTAATGCTGGGTAGGATTATCCAGCGTCCACTGACACCACGGGTTGCCTGCAAAGAGTTAAGTTGATCTGGAAAACTGATCTGTAGGTTAAGTGCAGCAGGGCCACAGATGTGTAATCCCCACTTCTGAGAATGTGCCATTTCTTCTTTGTCATCACTTTCTTGGTGCTATCTGGTAAAAACTGAGTCATGATGTGCCGAGAAAAATCCATTGCACTTAATGTGCAACTTGAGGTATCTGCTCATTCCTGAGATATTCCCAGCTGTCAGTCCTGCTGGCTAGATGGTAAACAACTTGCTGGGGATGAAATCCCGCTACCGTGACTTTTCCCAGCCTGTCTGAGAGGCGTAGAACCAGACGGCCGGCCTGTGAGAACCTGAGCATGAGGGAGGGCTCCGTGGTGGGGACTCGAGGGCTGAGCGGCCCCGCCCTTCACAGAGGCCTGTTTCCAGAGTAGCCCCAGTGGAGGGACGCAAAAGCCAACTGTCCTTGTCCTGCGAGCTTTTTAAAAACCTTCCTTCTGCTGCAGGTGCGCATTTCCAGATGGCACCTGTGGACCGACCTGAGCCTTGTTGTCCTTTCTTTGTGTTTGCAGCCACGGCACAGGGTATGAGAGTGATAACCACACGACTCCCATCCTCTGCGGCGCCCAGTACAGAATACACACCCACGGCGTCTTCAGGGGCATTCAGGTGAGAACTCGGGGTGGGGGGGCCTCGCTGGAAGGGGACTTGTATGCCTCTTTCCCTTCTCAACAGCCTTTCTCTTCCCTGCTGATGGCCATGTAGCCATGGCAAGTCTGGTCCTAATTACAGGCTCCTTTGACAATAGGGACCTCTCCACTTCCACTAGGGCAGAGAGGACAGCCTCCTCTCCACAGGTCCTGGTGACCACGGCCTCGTTCCTGACGCAGTCCAAGATGCTTCTGGCAGAACCCCATCCCTCTCCCCTTGACTGGTTAATTCACCTTTCCAGGTGGGCTGTGCAGCTCTTGCAACGAATGACCTGGACCCTTGGCTTCCAAGTCAGACCCTCGACTTGGTCTGCATTGTCCAGTGCCTGAAGCTGACTCTTCTCTTGCCAAGTGTTCTACTAATAACAGTAAATAATGACAATAACAGCACCACTGTGTGGGTGCTGGACGCGTTCTATATGCCAGGCAGTGTGCTGAATTTTATATACGGGCTTTCTGTCTTCAAAGACTTAATTTTTTAGAGCAGTTTTAAGTTTAAGGAAAAATTGTGCAGAAAGTACAGAGAGTTCCCGGATCCTCCCTCTTCGCCCTCCTCCCTATTATTAACATCTTGCCTCGGTGTGATACACTTGTTACAGTTGATGAGCCAGTATTGATACATTATTATTTTTTTGAAACATTATTGTTAACAAAAGTCCATAGTTTACATCAGGGTTGGCTTTTTGTGCCATGGGGTTCCATGGGTTTTCTTAAATGCATAATGCCATGCATCTACCGTTACATTATAGTACAGAATAGTTTCACTGTCTAGAAATAAAAATGCCTGTGTTTCACCTATTCATCTCTCCGCTCTTTCTCTCCTCCCCGACAACCACTGATCTTTTTACCGTCTCTATAGTTTTGCCTTTTTCCACAATGTCGTATGGTTGGAATCATACAGCATGTGGCCTCTTCAGACTGACCTCTGTCACTTAGCAATATGCATTTAAGGTTCTTCCTTGTCTGTATTTTATTTTTCCATTTAGTCCTCAGTGCACCTTTATAGGTGGGTACCGTTACGTCCATTTTACGGATGAGGAAACTGAAGTCCAGAGAAGATGAGTGACTTGTCCACAGTCACATAGCTAGTCATGACATGAGTCTTGTCTGATTCCGGGACCCCTGTTTCTAAGCACCGTGTTGCATTGCTTCTTAGGGAGACAGAGGGCTGTGAACAGTTTGTGGGGGGAGGGGCCTCCAAGGAGAGTGAGGGAAGTAAAGTAAAAAGGGAAACGTTTTGGAGAATTCGGGAACGTCCATGGCAGACCACCTCAGCAGAGCCTCTTTGGGGAGGTCAGAACCGCACATGGTTACCAAGGGTCTGCATTTGTGACTTTCACTTATGAGTGACAGCAGTGATACTTTCACGAGAATAGTCAGTACTCTAGAAGTAAGTTGTGTGCGAGCCGGGTCCCCACATGAGGTGTGGCGCAGGTAGCTCTGAGATGTTCTGGTTTCTGTTTCCAGGAGCATCATGGTGATAGAACTGCATGCTCCCTCTGCCCAAACCTTCCAAGGGTGACAATAAAGGTGAGGGTGACAAAAAGCTGAACTCTGATGGAGGTACAGGAAGTCATCCCAGCCTCTCCTCCTGGCGTCCTCCACCAGGGTCCTTGACTGACCTTGACTATGCGACTTTGTATCCTGTTGGTGTGTGTGCTGCATCTAGATTGAACCAAAAGAAATGAAGAAGCCCCTTTTGCCTTCCTTTTCACAAAGCCCAGTTTGTGAGACTCACTGTCATGGCTGCTGATAGACTCCAGACCTCACAGGTGTTGTTTCATCACTGACTCGTTTTCTCCTAGAGTCTGATAGTCAGACACAGCTGGCTCGCCATTTAAATTTACGCCACCCTTTGACCTTGAGACCCTGTGGCCTATCAACAGCAAATTTGTATGTCACCACAGTACTTCTCCTTCAAAAAAGATCTCACAGTGCAAGGCAGTGCGAAATAGAATCTAGACTATAAGCATGGTGTGGAAGATGCACAGAGCACAGGATGGGTTAAGCTCAGAGGCAGTTCTGGGTGTTAACACAAAACATGGATGTGCACTTTGGTCTTGACTTGCACATCTGTAAGGGAATGAGGAGGACTCAGTGGCCTCTGGGGCACTCCCACTTCTCCTGTCCATGAGTCATTGATCCTGAGAGCCGGAAGGAGAATTTGTTTCTGTGTCCCCTTAGCACCTTGTCATGGAGAACTGACCGTACACGTACCCATTCCCACAAGGTGAAGGGAATCAACAGTGAAGGACATAGAAAGTGTCCGGAAGGCAGACACAGTGTTTTCTGGTCTTTCTATTAAGTGATTACACTGGCTACCCTATTGGACTCTGATGGTTTCAGCCCCTTCACAGAGAGAACCCCCCAATTCTCAGGGGCTCTTCCTTCCTTGTCACTTACTCCCACCTGGAAAGCCTGGTCAGTTGGGGGTTCATTCAGTATCCCATGTTTTTCTCTAATAAGGACTCCCCCATACATGGCAGACTGGGCCTGAGGTCATGTGGCCCGTGTGTCCAAGTGGGAGGAAATAGATCCTGGGACTTTGGATTTCCAGACCTCACTGCCTCAAGTGGAAAAGCTGAGAGACAGGATGGATTGGGAGCTCTTGCAGTCACCAGCACTTCTTTTCTAGGTCGTCTGGATCAGCAACCCCAAACAAACTTCAGTGAAGTACCAGTTCTGGTTGATCAGTAGTAGTGATGTTGGCGTGATGCACTGTAGCATGTCCTGATCTGTCATCCATTAGTGATGGCTGCTGTGGGCATCTGGGGTATGGATGGGAGTGGTTTTAGGTCTTATATCTGTCATCCCTTCTTTGGGTATTTTCTAAAGCTCACCTCCCCTCAGGACTGACATGAATGTCCACACGTGGCTTAAAGCCTCCATTTCTCTTACACTCTGCTCATAGGATGTGCGACGTGTGCCCGGAGTTGCCCCGACTCTTGTCCGGTCGGCATCTGAGACCAGTGAGAAACGCCCCTTCATGTGTGCTTACCCGGGCTGCAATAAGAGATATTTTAAGCTGTCACACTTACAGATGCACAGCCGGAAGCACACTGGTAAGTGTGTCCCCTGTCCAGCCTTGTTTCCCGTGGCTTATGGGCAAGGGTAGTTCGAGAGCTCCTGTTCCTGCCTGTCACACTGCTAAGGACACAGGAAATTTCTTGGATTGACAGTAGGCAATGCTTTGAAAGGTCTGGCCAAGGTGATAAAAAAAAAAAAAGAAAAGAAAAAAGAAAGGCTGCAGGGGCATTTTGCATCCCGATTGTCCATCCTTTAATAAAGAATTCAGTAAACTGTCTTCAGGAGGGCAGAGCAGAGTGGTGGAAGAAGAATTCCACCGAACTAAAGAGACTTAACTCGTGTTTGAATTCTGGCTTCACAACCAAGTGGTGAGACCTTGAGCAGTTACTTAACCTGTCTTTGAACTTCATTTTGTCTCATGGAAAATGGAGTTGGTAATGCATATCTTATTCCAGTGTTAAGACTAGATTCACTTTTTTTTGAGAAAGAGAGAGAACAAGCAGGGGAGGGGCAGAGGCAGAGGGAGAGACAATCTCAAGCCAACTCCATGCTGAGGATGGAGCCCAATGTGGGGCTTGATCTCATGACCTGAGCTGGAATTAAAGAGTCAGATGCATAACTGACAGAGGCACCCAGGCGCCCCAAGTCTAGATTAACTTTAAATAAAATTAAATGCAAGGGCATTAGATATGAAGCACTTAGTATATTACCTTATGTCAATAGGTTTGAATAAACAATAGTGTAACTATCAGACTACTGTTAGCATCTCTGAAGAGAGAGGACCTATTCTGGGAGTTTGGTAATCAGATTGTTTTGAGAGATTGATGGGCAAGGTCAATAAGACTTAAGGAGAGATGGTCCAAAGAAAAAGTGAGCTGTGTGGGTTAGTAATAACCAGCCAGATAGGAATGGGAAAATGGATTTGTAGATTTAATTTTTGTTTTCAATCTTAAAAAAATGATTTTTGATGATGTGTCAAGGAAAATTGGATTTTCCCACAGGTCAAGGGATCTACCTTCCCCTGGGAAAGAGAATTGGCCTCGTCTGGTTGTTGGCCACCTTGAGTGTGAACAGCCATTTCACAAATGTTTGCTCTTGGCCTGTGGGCACTGGACGGGAGTGTGGTTGGGTCTCCACTGCAGGGAAGCAGTGAGAAATACAGGCTTTCCCATAGGGGAGCTGGTGGGGTTTTTTTTCCCCTTGTAACTGGAAAGAGAGTTTCATTTTCAGAATTACCCTTACTATTTTGTTATTACTGCTTATTTTGCTTTGAGGGAGTTGAAGAAGAGAACGAGCTGCATTCACATCTCTTCAGATCGTTGGACTTTGCTAAGTTGTTGTGTTTGGAGGATGCAGTTCTAGAACAAACCTGAGTTTGCACTCAGTAGACCTCATGCTCCGAGGTTAAAGATGAGAGAACTAAGGGCCTGGTATATTTTCACATGTTTCTTCAAATGGGATCGTTTGAAAAGTATCTGTGAAGGTTATAAAGAAAAACGATAAAGTAAAATTGTGGCTGGAGAAATGCAAGGGAATACGCTGAAGGCAATATGGTTGTAGAAACCTTGACTGGGGAAGAGACCCTTAGCAAGAAGTGAGGGGGAGATGTCTGTGTGAAGCAGAAGCTGTGGGCATGGTAGCCATGACCCCCAGACCCACCGGAGGCTTTAAGAAGCTCTTCTTTGCGGAGGACAAGGAGAGTGGCCCGGTATTTAACAGTCCTGCAGCCCTTTTCTTGAAAGAATGCAATCTTTTCTTATCTACGTATGACAATAGTACAATTGTTATATTAAGTACTTTTATATTAAATATTTTTTATGTGCCGGACTCTCTACATGCATTATTTCATTTAATCCCCACACATTGACTGGTTATCAGGTGGGTAGGATATAGTGGAAGCAGGACCCACGCTCATGGCTTTCAACTCCAAGTCACAAACCCCCTTCTCAAAGAGTTGAGGGTCTGTTTTGGAGCTAGGATACACACAAATGAAGAGGGATTAAGAGAGTATATGACAATGTACTAAACCAGAGGCTGGAGCTGCTGAGAAGAGTTGCTGATTTGAGCTAAAGTCATCCCAGAAGGAGGAAGCGCTTGGGCTAACCATCAAAGGGTCGGTAGGGTACGGTAGAGGAAGTAAAGAAGGAGCAGAAGCAGAAAGGCAGGGAAAAGAAATTCGACTGAGTAGGGCTGTTTAAGTGTAAGGCACTGGGCTAGATATAAATACAAAGTGAAGGAAAGGCTCCTGCCCTCAGGATTTTCCAGCCCCTGGAGGAAGGTAGCTCTGGACACAGCCTACCATGTTAGATGTTCTGGAATACATTCTGTACTGAGGAAGAGAAGGGCTTTCGATCTGAGCATGAAATTTCCAAGAAGCATTGCTGAGGAAGCAGGTGGCATTGGTGAGGGACGTACAGTTGACTTTTTGACAGGGAGGAATGAATGTGGAGATAGGGACAAAGGGCATTTGGTGTGAGCAAAGTGCAAGGCAGATTTTGGGAATGGTGAGCTCTGGTATAGCAGGAATACAGATTAATCAGGGGAACAGAGGAGGTTACGAGGCCGGAAAGACAACGAGGGAATGCCCTGCAACAGAAAGAACAACTGGCCCCGGGATGGCTTCCTCTCTATCCCAGAATACCGGTGACTCAGAATTCTCATAAGAAGTTGGGAAGGCCCAAGGTGTCTCAGTGCACTCATGGAGCTTCGTTCCCAGTGTTTGGCTGAACTTTCTCCAGCAAGGACAAGGGTGGGGCTTCTCCCTTCTGAGGCAGGAGGTTGTGCAATCCCACTACTGACTTCTCTCGGATAAAGGAATACCGACACCTTTCTTAATACTTTGGTTCCTGGTTTCACTTGAGTGTCTCACAACCATGGAGCTGTTTAGGCTTGATCCAGAAATGAGAAGTCAGTAGCAGAGAACACCAAATCTTTAGGCCATAAAACATAAAGCACTTATTACATGGGGCCAGCTCCAAGGCCTATCCATCACAGAACTCTGCCTCCAACTCAGTTGAAGAGTTAAGACTTCTTTGGCTTATGATTTATCTAAAGATTCTCTACCAGTATTTTCGGAGCATGCCTCTGGGCTTGGCACTGGGCAAAGAAACCCTTTATGTGGATGGCCTGGTTCAATCTGTTTATAAATCCTTTGAATTTGTGAGATTATTGGCCCCCTTTCTCAAAAAGGAAATGGCACCTCACCCAGAGCTTTACGTTGCAGAGCTGGATGTGACCCTAGTGTCCAACTTCAGAACCTGAGCTCCCATCCACTTATAACTCAGAGGTTAGGGACCATCCTCATACAACCAGTCCCCCATTCTACACTCACTGTCCAGGAGCCTGTGTGCAGGAGGGCCTTGAACCTCACATAGCAGCTAACAAGGTCTACCGGCATGCCTTAGGCATTTGGGGATCCCTCAGTCCCAGTAGGAGAGGTTGCCTTTCATGCAATCCCCATTTCCAGCAGCATTTTCAAACAGCATATGTGTCTTCCCCAAGGTGAGAAACCATACCAGTGTGACTTCAAGGACTGTGAACGAAGGTTTTCTCGTTCAGACCAGCTCAAAAGACACCAAAGGAGACACACAGGTTTGTAGGCTCACTTCTCATTGCTGGCAGTTATGTTCTCTTGGGTTGCAGTTGATTTTGTGATTTTCTTTGTTGTTGAATGTAGATGTGAGAGGTTTAGCCATTTGCTTAGCTTTTCCCAATCATCATGTCCCCCCCCGCCCCCCCCGGAGATTTTCCTTTTCTGAAGGAAAAAAAAGACTAGGAAACATCCCACATTTCTCCTGCAAACTGCAGAACGGTGGGATCCCACTAGCCATGTGCTGATGATACACTGAGTAGCAGTGAAGAACAGGGTGGTGGAGAGCACAACCCAATTTGTAGAGTGTGATTCACTTTTTCAGTCTTGGACACAGCCGAGACTCTGGTGGAAAGCTGGATGTTTGTGGTTAAGGAATAGTTGTTCCCCAGACAGAAGCAGGTCATCGGGGATTACTGTGCGGAATCAGGTGGTTTGTGCCAGGCCTGGGGCGTGGGGGACATCTGAGGGAGAGGCAGACATCATCACCTGGGGGCTGGAAATGCCTGGCTCGTCCGGCCACCTCCAGGAAGCTGGCTCCGGGGCCTCATTATGCTCCCACATTGTTAGGGCTGCGGCTAGACCTTCTCTGTCCATTTAGGTGTGAAACCATTCCAGTGTAAAACTTGTCAGCGAAAGTTCTCCCGGTCTGACCACCTGAAGACCCACACCAGGACTCATACAGGTAAAACAAGTGCGTAAACTTTTCTTCACATTTATTTTTCATTATTTTTTTTAAAATACTGTTGAATGAAGTTGTTTGTGATGTGAGAGATTGGAAAAGATGAGTGTAGAAGTTCTGAGCAGGTTTAAAGAGAGAAAGAACAGTGCATGGCTGTCTTTAACTAATAACATTGTTTCAGAAGGGATAGGGTGGGGGCCACAGAGCAGAAGGGAGATGTGAAAAGAACACTCTTTTACTGCGCGTCCAGAATGAAGGGAGGAGGTGAGCTAGGTCCCCACTGTTACCAGTTTGCTACATTATACTGTGTCACTCAGTTTGATTGGATTATCAACTTTACAAACAGCAGAAATTCTCGCAAGCCAAGCATTTATTCTTCGGAGAGCTCACATTTCATGACACTATTTTCAGAGACGTGAATCCTTGCTGGGCTAAAAGTTAATGTCCCAGGAGCAGACATGGTTTCTGCCAGACTCATATCAGCCTATGGATATTATTTCCTTTGTGCTAGTATAGAGAGGGGAACAGGACATTTATTCACTGGTCGCTGAAAGTTTTTGCTTTTCCACAAGCTTGGTGTGATTCATAATGAAAATAGCACCACCTTTGTTGTGTATTTTCTAGCTTTTGGAAGGAGGGCCAAGGCTTAGGGTTATCTCGCTGTATCTTTGCAACATCCTTCCTTGTAAGAAGAAGAAGGTAGGCATGTTTTATCCCCATTTTTCAGATGAGGAGACTGAGGCACATAGTGATGAAATGACTTGTCTACAGTCCCAAAGCTAGTAAGAAGCAAACCCAATTCCTTCTGCTCCCAGCCCACCCTGTCCCACAGCCTTCTTTCTTGGTGAAAGAGCGTAGGTTCATCTCACAGCCCAGGGAGGACAGGAATCAGGAAGAGTGCCAAGGTCAGCAAAGCTGAGTGCCATTGGGAGACTGAGGAGAGTAGAGACCAACAAGAGAAAGGGTTGGGCTTTGTCCATTGGAAGATGACCTTTGACAGCATGGCTGGAGGTTGGAGTGGACGGCCAGGAGCCAGATCAGGAAGAACAGAGGAGCAGTGAGTGGGAGGTGAGGGAAAATATGAGCTCATGAGCCCCCATGCAGCTGCAGATTCTCAGCCTGAATAGGCTGCCGTTTATAGACAGGGTCAAGGTACCTGTGCCCCAGAGTTGGTGGGGTGGGCAACTCTTCTGCCCTACTCAGGTGCCTCTCGTGTTTCTTCTTTTCTTTAGTCCTGAGCTCATAATTTGGTGGAACGTTATCGTCCCTTGTACCCTGCCCCCCTCCTCCTCCAACCCTATGCATAGCTGTATGTGCACAAAATGGCCCACGTCACTGGCAGACTGTTTTACCCTATATTTGATCAGCCCCCAGTTCTGACCCTGGGACAGTGCCTCCCCTGGGACATTCCTCCCTGTGTGTCCCAACCAGTAGTTCTCAGAGGAGGCAAAGTGGGACCAGTGATACCCTGGGAAGATCTCCCCGATGGTACAGACATTGGCTCCCATGGCGTTTTTTACTTAGGATTAAGCCACAGCTCGATCTCTGTTAGGGCCAGGCCTGGGAGGTGGGGTACTGCCAAGGGCATGGGCTTTGGAATAGACAGACCTGGATTTAAGTCCTGCTTGGGTCTGCCCTCTCTAGCCATCTAGCCTCATCTCCAGAGTGGGGATACTAATGCTTGTCTTACAGGACTGTTGTAGGGAATACATGAAATAATGTATGTAGATGATGCCCAGCACATGGCTGGGCATATATTAGGCATTTCATAAATGCTGATTATCCTCCCTGTCCAGAATGAGGCTTGGAAGGCTCTTCTGAGAGCTCCTTGGATGGAGTGGTCTCGATCTTTCGGCAAGCTCGTTAAAAATCTTAAAACCAAAAAAGAAAAAGAAAATCTTAAAACCATGCCTCAACTAGAACGGGGAGTATGCTCTGAGTAACACTTTGAGGTAAAAGAAGCAAATGTCCTGCAAACTGGTATCAGTGACTTATTTTAAAATACCCAGGCCATCTAGAATATCTCCACAGACAGAGATATTAAAGCTACAGTCACAGCTCTACTATAGGAGGGCAATCAGTCAGTAATATCCAGTGTGATGATCCTGAGCCCCTGCAGCCCAGTGAAGTCCAATTCCCTGGGAAGACAGTGGAGGGGAAACATTTATGCAATTCACAAAACGGTCTAACAACAAAGGTTGAAACAAATGTTTTCCCCTCGATTACATATAAATTTCCCAGACGCTTTGATGAACTAGACTCATTCCTTCCCTGCCATTTCCCCAGTCCTCTGACTTAATAATATTTCATACTTTTTATGGTAGTTTAATCCTGAAGAGCGCAGAGGTGCTGCCATTTCAAGGCTGCCCATGGAATGGGCCCAATTTGTTAGCCTAGGGAAAGAACTAGAGGGAATCGGGAGTGGGTGCCTTGGGATGATTTAACTCGGGCATTTGATAGTTGAACTTGTGCCCGGTCTCTCTGCTGCAAGCGTCTCTGACTGGTAATTGTGTCAACAGGTGAAAAGCCCTTCAGCTGTCGGTGGCCCAGTTGTCAGAAAAAGTTTGCCCGCTCAGACGAATTAGTCCGCCATCACAACATGCACCAGAGAAACATGACCAAACTCCAGCTGGCGCTTTGAGGGGGTCCGACCGGGGGACACATCTGTGTCCCAGGCAGGACAGTGTGTGAACTCCTTGCAAATCTGACTTAAAAATTCCTCCTCACTCACCTCTCTGAGAAGGAAATGGCAGGTGGTCTTCTTCATCCAGCTTCCAAGACAAGATGCCTGTACTACTGGATCCTACCAGGTTTGCCCGGAGGCGTTGGGCTCTGCTTGGCTTGCTTTTAGTTGACTCAGAGGCCCTGGAGAAGTGGCTGACAATGTCGTTAGTTAAAATCCCATCTCTGCCATTTGGTCTGGATTTTCCACTGTAAGAAAAGCCATTGTTGATAATGTCCCCCCACCCCCTCTTCTCCTTTTACACTCCTTTTCACTAGGAATGGAGTCATTGTACCATTTTCCATCATAGAATATTTATAGGCCAGGGCATGTGTATGTGTCTGCTAATGTAAACTTTGCCATGGTTTCCATTTACTAACAGCCAGAAATAAATCAGAGAGCAAGGCACTGGGGCTGAGTCCCATCCGACATTCCGGAGGTTAGGCAGGCCGCTAACGTGGAAGGCAGGATGTAATGCTACCAGGCACCTTAAAAAACGTGTGCGTTTCTAGCAGCTGAAGAAAGAATCAGAACTAACCAGTACCTCTGCAGAAAAATCTAAAAGAACCTTCCCGTTCAACTAATTCAATGTTAACATTAGCGCAATGCTGTTGAGAAACTGTGCTTGGAGATCTGAGATTTTGGTTTTGTTTATTTTCGACTTTTTTGAGTTGTAATCACATGCATCTTCAGAGATGTACATATCTCCTCACACAAAGGAAGTGGAATTCATTTTTATCATCTGGGGTGTCCTTAGAGTGTACAGACCACGATGGGTATGTGGCTTCAAGTTGTAAAAATTAAAGTGATTCTAGAAGAAAATTGGGCTGGTCCAGGATCTCCACTGATTAAGACTGTTGTTAAGTAACTTTGAGTCTACCAGTGTATGTGACAGAATGAGACTTACTAGTGTGAGGAAATCCATTGTTTAACGGTGGTTGAGTGTGTGTGTGTGTGCGCGCGCGTGCATGTGTGTGCTTAAAGGAGGGTGTTTATTATTTACTGTTGCTTGAAATTACTGTGTAAATATATATATCTGATAATGATTTGCTCTTTGACAACTAAACTTAGGAAATGTATAAATGTTAGATGCATCACTGTTTTGGTGTTGATCTTACAACGTATCAATGATAACACTAAAAATGTAACCTGCATTTTTCACTTCACTCTCAATTAAAGTCTATTCAAAAGGAAAGTGGCAAGATTTTATCAGCTACATTGTGTTCAAACCTTAAGAACAGTTGAGACTGTCTTAAGCAGGTAAGAAGATGTTACCGAGCATTGATGATCACTAGTGTAGTCTATCCACGTGCTGCCTACTCTCTGTTTCTTTCTGTCAAACCTCAGAAGGCAGTTATCCTTCCTGGAACCAGCCAGCATCGTAAAGTGATGGTGCTCATGCTGTGGTCTGATGGGTTCATGGATGGCTTGGTGGGAAGCGCGTTCGAGGGTTTATTTTAATCAGGCTATCCTTGCATCACTTGTTATTCCAGGTCAGCAAATGAGAATAGGGATGCTAATGATGACTGGTCTTTTCTGGAAAGTTCACCGGTACATACTGCAGTCAGGAGGCCATAGGCTGAACACCTAGCACAACGGAGTTGTCAACTGTGGTTGCTATAAATAAGCTCAGCAGGTTGAAAAGTGCTTAGACTTTCCAGGGCAGCAGAGTCTAAAAGCAAAGGTCTACATTATGTATAAACTGTGAACTCTCTTTCTGGTTCTGGTGAAGGGTGGTCTCTCAGCTATAAATAAGGAGATTGATTTGGTGCCCCCCCACTCAGCTCCAGTAGCTTGGAGTGCACATGGGTCCAGGTTTCCTTTCTTCATTTACAATGTATCCAGAGCAGGCTGCAGCTCAGCCACTGAGACCCTCTTGAGCAGCTCAGAGTTTGGGCCGCCTAAAAGTCAGGTCCTGGGGCCCCTCTTCGTTTGCATCTGGCTCTTGCATCACTGTTAATTATAGTTAGTATGGTGACTCATTTGTATCAGCCAGTTTTATCTTTTCCTGCCAGAAGACAGCATTTCTCTGGAGAAGCTCAGGACAAGCATGGCCAACGTCAGCAAGTCGGAGCGAGCCAGGTTTCACAACAAAGCAAAGCCACATTGTCTCAACTACAGGAGGAAGACCAGAGATTCTCACACAACCTTAGCGGTTTAGTAGGCGACAGTTAAGGTCATGGGCTTTGGTAAACCGACCAACCTGGATTCAAATCCTAAATCACTAGTTTCTTCTTCCGTAAGGTAGGAGCAAAAGATTCCCCGGCTAGATAGGATTATTGTGAAGATTAAATTTGAGAAAGAAAGAAAGAGAGAGAGAGAGAAGGGAAGGGAAAGAAGAGAAAAGAAAAAAGAAAAGAAAAAATCTAGGACATAGCAAAGGCTTAATAAGCATTACCTAGGAAACTAATTACCCAAGAACTCACCTGCTAATTTCCTTTAGCTCTGCCTCCCGGACATCCCCTAGCAGTGTCCAGCCATCTTCATCAGTCAGCTCTGCAAAATGACAAATCCATTTTCATGTACCCCAACCAGAGGTGAGGTTTGCAGCAATAGGGCTCTTGCCAGCATCCGTACAGAGATGACATCGGCTTGCTCTGTGTCTTTTGTGAAGCTCTGGGTGGCAGTGAGTGTGTGCTTCTGAGACCCACGGAACTGAGCATCAGTCAATTGTCAGGGTGACAGTTGGTCAGTGGGAGTTCTCTGCCACTTCAGCAAGGGCTCTGTTTGGTGCACGTATCAAAATGTGCATTTTTCCCTCTTGCTTTACTATGGCGTCTAGTTCAGTATATGGTTCAATGTCTTTGAAAGCCCCCTTCTCCCTTGCTGGATCTTCGCAGACTGTTCCAGTCATCTGTAGCCCCCTCGTGTGACCTTGTGTAGCATTGTAAGTACATAACATTAAATAGTAACTTTGGTGGGTGTAGTACTTTCCCATCTAGGACAATCTGTAAGTTCGACAGGGCAAGTATCATTGCCACTTTACAAGGAGAAAGCTGAGGCAGGACTTGTTCTTGGTGTTCCTTATCCATAGCATCATGCTTGATGGTGTAGACTTGCACTCTGCTCCATTGTTTCAGATCAGAATGATATCTTCCCAACCAGACTGTGAGCTGCTAGAGAGGAGCAGGTCTCTCCCTTTCCTGAGTTACTTATAGAAAGGCTTTCTCAACCTTCAGTGACCATATGCATCACCCGAGGAATCGCTAAGGGGCATGCTCAGATTTGGAAGTTCTGGGGCAGGGTCTGAGAGTCTGCATTTCTCACAAGCTGGGCTGTGAACCGCCCTTTCCATAGCAAGGACCTGGAGAGTGGGCTCAACTAAATACTTGCTGAAAGGTGACCGATGAGATCTTGCTCTAGACAGGCCACACTGAGCCTGTCTAGCCAAGAGAGAGCAGCCAGGGAAGATGGCCCTGTGCTGTGGTGGCCCATGGAGCTGTGGGTGGGGACATTCATGCTGCACATGTTAGCCCCAGTGAATCCATCCATGAGGAGGTTTGTTTTCCAACCCAGTCTCTCCATTCTCTATTGGTGACTTGCCCCAAGCAGGGAGGCCTCCCTGGGTGAGACTAAGTGTGCTGTGTATCCAGCCCTTGTACCTTCCTCGGTCCACATCGCCACAGCAGGCCTCGACCTCCCTGACACCCACAACCTGGAATTTTGTGGTTTTGGAGAGAACTTGCTCCCCATGAGCCAGCAGCCCATGTCCTGCTCCTACCAGGAACCACTTGCTTAGTGCCTTGGGTACCAACGGGCAAAGGCAGTGGCTTCTAGAGCCCTGTCCTCCTTGCCCGGTGTTTGCTCTTCTGGTCTTGGATGAACAGGTGTGTCAGAGAGACAGGTGTGTGTGTGTGTGTGTGAGAACAGTGGTTCTTGATTGGGGGCATTTTTCTTCAGAGCCTCACAGCTGGCTCTGAATTTCTCACAGGTAAATGCCTAAGACAGTAAGGGAAGTCAAGCTTCCACAGGAAGGAAGACAAATCCCTAAGAAAATATGAAGGTGTTGGCCCTTTTCATTTAGGTCTTTGCTTCTAATGACCGTGTTAGTTATCAAGTGATTGAAATCTGTGCAAAGCGTAATAAGTAAGTTTAAATGATCATGATGATGAAGATCACACCTGGTCTGGTTTCTTGCACTGAGAAAGTAGCTGCTTTAGGGGAGGGCGCCAGGCTTTTCTCTGTTTTTCATGCAAAACCCTGATTCCGTTAGTTCTTGAACTGGCCTAGAGAAGGAATGAGAGAGCCAGACAGCAGAGGAAGGGGCTGGTGGGTTTCCAGCCCAGCCAGCAGACAGCCATGTGTACTCAAGTCCTGAATGAGGTTGGTTTTCAGAGACAGATGAGAACAAACTCCTCAAGACCCAGGACTCTGGAGAGTCAGTGCCTTTAGGCCCAGACTGAAAACCAGCCGGGTATGAGTGGAAGCTTTAGACAGAGAGATTGCAGATGTAAGCAGCAAAGGCAGACCAAATCAGCACATATGAGTTGAAGAGATAACAAGATATTTTTATGGAGCAGGGGAGGATTGAAGGCCGGTCCGGGGGAGATGGGGCTGAGATAAATGGACAGGGTGGGTTGGTTGAAACAAGCAGCTTTTCCCCTCACAGCGTCCCGGGAGCATTGGGGATGTTGACACTAGGTAAGAAGGATTGCCTGACACGGCAAGGATTCTGAGGGCCACTGAGGAGGCAGCTGGACTCTGGGAGAAAGAGGAAGGAGGGAAGGAAAGAGGGAGACAGACAACTCTGGGAAGAAAGATGAGTCGGATGAGGGATGAAGTGTGGATGTCAGGGAGGTCTGACAGGAAGAGGGGGCTTCTGTCTGACAGGGCCTGACCCCCACGTGAACTGACGCCAGCACTGTGAACACACACCCAGGCTCTCCCATGCTGGAGATGCTCAAATGCAAACACGCAAGTGATCATAACGGGGGCCATTTATTGGACCTTTGCGTGTGGACCGGTGCCAGGCATTCTATTGAGAATCTTCCCATTTTACAGATGAAGAAACAGTTTCCAAGAAGTACGCCCCACAGGGTGATCCGGCTTGGATATGGCAGAGTTGAGATTCTCACCCGACTCTGACTCTTCACCCCTTCCTTGTACCCTGTTTATCCTCCCCTGTTCTCTCCCCACATAGCCAGTTGTAGAGCTCTTTTGCAAAATATGTTTTCATTCAGTATTTTATATTAAATACCGGAACTTAAGAAATGACATAGCATAATGTTAGCCGGACAGTGATAAAAGGGGAAAATTGAGAAACACATTTAAAAGTTCAAGGTCAATGAGTACTTTTAAAAAGCAGCATCCTGCTTTCCCAAGGAGCTGAATGTCAGAGGGAAGGGGCTGAGGAGGAAGCTGTTTGTTTCTTGTGATGGTGGGGGAGGGTGAATCCTGTGGCTGTGTCCCATAGATAGGACTGTCCCTGCGTCTTAGCAGGCAGCCTCCGTTTTTCTCAGATGTCATGGGGTCCTTAACTATCCAAATGAAGAGGGCCAGGGAGACTGTCACAGATGCCTCTCATCCCAATTTTTCTGAGGTCTAAAAATATAATGACCACAGCTCGCTCTTCCAGCCCTAGCCCTGGCAGACCTCTCCCCTGGCAGGGGAGGAAGGGCATGGCGATGCTTGGTCAGGGCTTGTGTGGAGATCTTACGGGGGAAGATAATCAGGTGGGGCCCTTTGAGTTCACTGGGTGGATAACACAAAGAGAATTCTGTGGAAGGTTCTTTATGCTGCCATCTAGAGACACTTTTAGACAGGGACCCCGAGGCCCCAGGAGAAGCAGCTGAAGAGATGTGAATTTCGAGACGCTCCCCCGTTCCCTAACTGTTCTAGTAACTTCCAGCACTAGTGGCAAGACACAATGGTTCTGTTTGCTGATCCGGCCATGCCCCTCTGATGAGAGCAGCCCAGAAAGGCCCAGAGCAAAGGAGGAGTGAGGATTGTTGAAGCCGGCCATGGGCTGAACATGTCCTCCAGGACGCAGGAATATTCCAGCAACGTGACAGAGCCACTGAGAGCACAGGCTCTGCCATCACACTTGGGAGACATCCAACACCTTCCAAACCTCAGAGCTCCCGCTCGTAACAAAACTGTGTGCCTCCAGGGCTTGTCCAGAAGACGGAAAGGGGCCCTGCAGGTGCTTAGCCCATGTGCCCTCAGTCAAAGGCAGCCAGGTCTCTGGCTGTGCATCA